AGACTAGAGAGAGAGAGGAGAGACCAGAGAGAGAGAGAGGGAGACTAGAGAGAGAGAGGAGAGACTAGAGAGAGAGAGGAGAGACCAGAGAGAGAGAGCAGAGACTAGAGAGAGAGAGGAGAGACCAGAGAGAGAGAGAGGGAGACTAGAGAGAGAGAGGAGAGACTAGAGAGAGAGCAGAGACCAGAGAGAGAGAGCAGAGACTAGAGAGAGAGAGGAGAGACCAGAGAGAGAGAGAGGGAGACTAGAGAGGAGAGGAGCGACTAGAGAGAGAGAGGAGAGACTAGAGAGAGAGAGGAGAGACTAGAGAGAGAGAGGAGAGACTAGAGAGAGAGAGGAGAGAGACTAGAGAGAGAGAGGAGAGACTAGAGAGAGAGAGGAGAGACCAGAGAGAGAGAGGAGAGACCAGAGAGAGAGAGGAGAGACTAGAGAGAGAGAGGAGAGACCAGAGAGAGAGAGGAGAGACCAGAGAGAGAGAGGAGAGACTAGAGAGAGAGAGGAGAGACCAGAGAGAGAGAGGAGAGACTAGAGAGAGAGAGGAGAGACTAGAGAGAGAGAGGAGAGACTAGAGAGAGAGAGGAGAGACTAGAGAGAGAGAGAGAGAGACCAGAGAGAGAGAGGAGAGACCAGAGAGAGAGAGGAGAGACTAGAGAGAGAGAGGAGAGACCAGAGAGAGAGAGGAGAGACCAGAGAGAGAGAGGAGAGACTAGAGAGAGAGAGGAGAGACCAGAGAGAGAGAGGAGAGACTAGAGAGAGAGAGGAGAGACTAGAGAGAGAGAGGAGAGACTAGAGAGAGAGAGGAGAGACCAGAGAGAGAGAGGAGAGACTAGAGAGAGAGAGGAGAGACCAGAGAGAGAGAGGAGAGGAGAGACTAGAGAGAGAGAGGAGAGAGAGAGGAGAGAGTAGAGAGAGAGAGGAGAGACCAGAGAGAGAGAGGAGAGACCAGAGAGAGAGAGAGAGACTAGAGAGAGAGAGGAGAGACCAGAGAGAGAGAGGAGAGACTAGAGAGAGAGAGGAGAGAGTAGAGAGAGAGAGGAGAGACTAGAGAGAGAGAGCAGAGACTAGAGAGAGAGAGGAGAGACTAGAGAGAGAGAGGAGAGACCAGAGAGAGAGAGGAGAGACCAGAGAGAGAGAGCAGAGACCAGAGAGAGAGAGGAGAGACTAGAGAGAGAGAGGAGAGACTAGAGAGAGAGAGGAGAGAGTAGAGAGAGAGAGGAGAGACCAGAGAGAGAGAGGAGAGACCAGAGAGAGAGAGGAGAGACCAGAGAGAGAGAGCAGAGACCAGAGAGAGAGAGGAGAGACTAGAGAGAGAGAGCAGAGACTAGAGAGAGAGAGGAGAGAGTAGAGAGAGAGAGGAGAGAGGAGAGAGAGAGAGGAGAGACCAGAGAGAGAGAGCAGAGACTAGAGAGAGAGAGGAGGGACCAGAGAGAGAGAGCAGAGACTAGAGAGAGAGAGGAGAGACCAGAGAGAGAGAGCAGAGACTAGAGAGAGAGAGGAGAGACCAGAGAGAGACCTGAAGTCAACTTCCAACCCACATTAGCAATGCAAAACCTCAATTTAACATGTTACTGTCACATGTTACTGTCACATGTTACCGTCACATGTTAATGTCACATGTTATCGTCACATGTTATCGTCACATGTTATCGTCACATGTTCTCGTCACATGTTATCGTCACATGTTATCGTCACATGTTCTCGTCACATGTTATCGTCACATGCTATCGTCACATGTTAATGTCACATGTTATCGTCACATGTTAATGTCACATGTTATCGTCACATGTTATCGTCACATGTTATCGTCACATGTTATCGTCACATGTTAACGTCACATGTTATCGTCACATGTTATCGTCACATGTTATCGTCACATGTTAACGTCACATGTTATCGTCACATGTTATCGTCACATGTTATTGTCACATGTTACTGTCACATGTTAATGTCACATGTTAATGTCACATGTTATTGTCACATGTTATCGTCACATGTTATTGTCACATGTTACTGTCACATGTTAATGTCACATGTTACTGTCACATGTTACTGTCACATGTTAATGTCACATGTTATTGTCACATGTTAATGTCACATGTTATTGTCACATGTTAATGTCACATGTTACTGTCACATGTTACTGTCACATGTTACCGTCACATGTTACTGTCACATGTTACTGTCACATGTTATTGTCACATGTTAATGTCACATGTTACTGTCACATGTTATTGTCACATGTTAATGTCACATGTTACTGTCACATGTTATTGTCACATGTTAATGTCACATGTTGTATGTGTCTTGCAGCTGCTGCAGTGGTTCCGGCCGCGCCTCATCCTCAGCGGTCACACACACAGCGGATGTGAGGTTCTTCACGAGAACAAGTTTGTGGAGATCAGTGTCCCGTCCTTCAGCTGGAGGAACCGCAACAACCCCAGCTTCATCCTGGTGACCTCCCCTTTAATACTCTGATCATACAACAACCCCAGCTTCATCCTGGTGACCTCCCCTTTAATACTCTGATCATACAACAACCCCAGCTTCATCCTGGTGACCTCCCCTTTAATACTCTGATCATACAACCCCAGCTTCATCCTGGTGACCTCCCCTTTAATACTCTGATCATACAACAGCCCCAGCTTCATCCTGGTGACCTCCCCTTTAATACTCTGATCATACAACAGCCCCAGCTTCATCCTGGTGACCTCCCCTTTAATACTCTGATCATACAACCCCAGCTTCATCCTGGTGACCTCCCCTTTAATACTCTCTGTTATGATCATACAACAACCCCAGCTTCATCCTGGTGACCTTCCCTTTAATACTCTCTGTTATGATCATACAACAACCCCATCTTCATCCTGGTGACCTCCCCTTTAATACTCTCTACACACTGTGATCATGTACGATGTGTTTATGACTGTGTCTGGGGTGGGACTAGAGCTGCACTGTTTGTGGAAAAAGGAGAGAGGAGACGAGGGGGGGGGAGAAAGAGAGAGATGGGGATAGAGGAGAGGAGAGAGAGGAGAAAAAGAGAGAGGGGAGAGAGGAAGTGAGAGAGAGGAGAGGAGGGGAGGGAAGAGAGGTGAGAGAGAGAAGAGAGAGGAGGGGGGAGAGGAGGGAAGAGAAGAGAGTAGGGGAGAGGAGAGAGAGGAGAGAGAGGGGAGGGGAGAGGAGATAAAGAGGAGAGAGAACCCTATGATAACAGAGTGTAATCTCCACCTGCCGTTATAAATATTGTTACTGTATCATTCACAAGGCTCAAAGGAACTTTTCTGAGATAAACTGAACTTACGTAAATGTTGTGTGTTTGTGTGTGCGTTGTGTGTGCGTTGTGTGTGTTGTGTTGCAGGCCTCGGTGACCTCCCAGCACCACTCTCTGTCTAAGTGCTTTCTGCCCGAGGAGAGCACAGTGATCGGAGTGTACTGCTCTGCTGGGACCTGCCTCCTGCTGCTGCTGCTGCTGCACTGTCTCTGCCTCAAAGGACTGCTCCAGTGCCTCAGCCTGTGTCTCCTGGGTAAACACAAGTCCCTCTGAACTACACTACCCATGATGCACCTGGGTCAGTCTCTCAGCCTGTGTCTCCTGGGTAAACACAAGTCCCTCTGAACTACACTACCCATGATGCACCTGGGTCAGTCTCTCAGTCTGTGTGTCCTGGGCAAACACAAGTCCCTCTGAACTACACTACCCATGATGCACCTGGGTCAGTCTCTCAGTCTGTGTCTCCTGGGTAAACACAAGTCCCTCTGAACTACACTACCCATGATGCACCTGGGTCAGTCTCTCAGTCTGTGTGTCCTGGGCAAACACAAGTCCCTCTGAACTACACTACCCATGATGCACCTGGGTCAGTCTCTCAGCCTGTGTCTCCTGGGTAAACACAAGTCCCTCTGAACTACACTACCCATGATGCACCTGGGCCAGAGAGAGGAAGAGGTGATGAGGTGCACTTCCTGGTTCGGGCTATTGTGACAGTTTTATCTTTTATCACATAGAAACCACTTTTTATGGCACATTTCGGTTCTCCGTTCTGTTTTAACAGTTGTTGATTGTTGATGCTAAGCTAGCTTAAGCCCTGTTTCCACTAACCCTCCCCTACCCTACCCTCCCCAACCCTCCCCTACCCTACCCTCCCCTACCCTCTCCTCTCCTACCCTACCCTACCCTCTCCTACCCTACCCTACCCTACCCTACCCTACCCTACCCTACCCTACCCTACCCTACCCTACCCTACCCTACCCTACCCTACCCTGGACTTTGAATTTGGACCAAAATGATTTTTGACCTGATTTACATCATGTTTCAGTTTATGAATGTCGACTTCGATGGATGCTGTAAGCTAACGTTATGCTAGCAGCCGTAATGAATCCCAACAACTCTTAAAACACAGAGAGGTGCTTTCTGTTTATGATTCTCCGTGTCCTGGATCAGAAATGCCTAGTTCTCATTCAATCGAACCAGAGAAATTCAGTCTTGTGTTTCTGCAGCAGAGAAACAAGCACTTTTTGTCCTGTCTTAAAAAATGTTAAATTCAGTTCAGGATTGAAATAGTGCAACAGTCTAATACTCATTCCTCACTTGCTGGAAAGGTTTGGAATACAAAACAAAACAATATGGAGTTCCCTCAAAGTAGTTTCTTATACAGATTATGATGAGACAAAAACCAATGGAAATATAATGTTTTGTCCTTTTACGTCATTCCTCTAACACGTTACAGTCATCTCTGAAACAAAAACCTCCAATTGAGCTCAGTCGTCCTGTTGCTACGGTTACTGAGCGAGAGGAGTTTACATGTGAGTCAATAGGAGTCAGAGCGAGTTGGAGCCAAACTTGGTCCATGAGCACTTCCCTATTGGGCTTCATTGAGAATTGCCAAGCTGTTTCATAGATCTATAATAATATCTGGATAGGGTACTTCTAGCTAATAGCTGTCCCACCAATGGGCACAGGGGGGCGCTGTGGTTCTGCAGACTAAATTCACGTCCCATAGAACTCAATGTAAACTATAACAGCTCGACCTCAGCTGACAGAGAACCTGACAGAGAACCTGACAGAGAACCTACAGCTTTCAGAAAGGTTGGATCTTGTTGGGATTTCAGTGTCCCTCGTCATCATGAACTTTTTTTTCTTGTAAAATCTTTTGGTTTTCTATAAATCCAGACTTTAGTGCCACTAACTCTGCTCGTTTGGCTCCCGCTCTAACTCCGCTCTGATTGATTCTGTGCACGTGCATGAGAGCCACACGCACATATTTGGCGCAAAGCATCATGGGAGCTCGTCCACTGCGCAGAGCCAGGAGGACCAGAGGAATGACCAAATATGGGCGAGTTCCCTAATCTCTCGGTCCCTGTGTAGGTTTCATTTGCACAGGCCGCCATCTTGGATCCCGGGGCTTGGTCTGTTTACAGTCTGAGTCCAAACGTATTTAAATAGGTCTGAATTTCTCTGGGATTAATGAGTGAATGACACGATCCACAATCTAAGTCCAGGTTTTGGCGTCGTTTTCTGGACTTGTGGACGACAGACTTTTCAAAGCAGTTGTGATCACAGTCCTACACAAATGAAAGACTATTTCAAAGACTATTTTAAAGACTGTTTCCAACCCAAGCTTCAAGTCCACAACAACAACTGAGACCAGAGCTGAAACTCCGACACCAGGATGTTTCAGATCCAAACTCACGGCTGTGTTGGATGTTTAGAGACTGGACTGAGTCGAGGAGCGCTGGGTGAGTCGCCGAGGACGTTCGGGGCGAGTGGAGGTTGTTCTGAACGGACCTCTGGCGTTTGATGGTGTGAAAACACTTCAGATCACTTTTACAGATGCACATTGAAACTTCAGCAGGTACTGTCCATAGGAGACGCTCAGAGAACGGACAGGACGCAAAACCAGTGGATAATAATTGTTTCTAAAATGGGTCTAAGCACTTATCGGTTACCGGGACGACAAACTCTAACCATATCAGTATTGATATGGCCTAATGGCCTAAGACTCTCTCTCTGGTCTCTCTCTCTGGTCTCTCTCTAAGGTCTCTCTCTCTCTCTGGTCTCTGTCTAAGGTCTCTCTCTCTCTCTGGTCTCTCTCTAAGGTCTCTCTCTCTCTCTGGTCTCTCTCTAAGGTCTCTCTATGGTCTCTCTCTGGTCTCTCGCTCTCTCTCTCTCTCTCTATGGTCTCTCTCTGGTCTCTCTCTCTCTCTCTATCGTCTCTCTCTGGTCTCTTGCGCGCTCTCTCTCTCTCTATGGTCTCTCTCTGGTCTCTCTCTCTCTCTATGGTCTCTCTCTGGTCTCTCTCTCTCTCTCTCTCTCTCTGGTCGTTCAGACGTGTCTCGGTCGTTCTGACGTGTCTCGGTCGTCCTGACGTGTCTTGGTCGTCCTGACGTGTCTCGGTCGTCCTGACGTGTCTTGGTCGTCCTGACGTGTCTCGGTCGTCCTGACGTGTCCCGGTCGTCCTGACGTGTCTCGGTCGTCCTGACGTGTCTCGGTCGTCCTGACGTGTCCCGGTCGTCCTGACGTGTCTCGGTCGTCCTGACGTGTCTTGGTCGTCCTGACGTGTCTCGGTCGTTCAGACGTGTCTCGGTCGTCCTGACGTGTCCCGGTCGTCCTGACGTGTCTCGGTCGTCCTGACGTGTCTCGGTCGTCCTGACGTGTCTCGGTCGTTCTGACGTGTCTCGGTCGTTCTGACGTGTCTCGGTCGTTCTGACGTGTCTCGGTCGTTCTGACGTGTCTCGGTCGTTCTGACGTGTCTCGGTCGTCCTGACGTGTCTCGGTTGTTCAGACGTGTCTCGGTCGTCCTGACGTGTCTCGGTCGTCCTGACGTGTCTCGGTCGTCCTGACGTGTCTCGGTCGTCCTGACGTGTCTCGGTCGTCCTGACGTGTCTCGGTCGTCCTGACGTGTCTCGGTCGTCCTGACGTGTCTTGGTCGTCCTGACGTGTCTCGGTCGTTCAGACGTGTCTCGGTCGTTCTGACGTGTCTCGGTCGTCCTGACGTGTCTCGGTCGTTCAGACGTGTCTCGGTCGTCCTGACGTGTCTCGGTCGTTCTGACGTGTCTCGGTCGTCCTGACGTGTCTCGGTCGTCCTGACGTGTCTCGGTCGTCCTGACGTGTCTCGGTCGTCCTGACGTGTCTCGGTCGTTCAGACGTGTCTCGGTCGTCCTGACGTGTCCCGGTCGTCCTGACGTGTCTCGGTCGTCCTGACGTGTCTCGGTCGTTCAGACGTGTCTCGGTCGTCCTGACGTGTCTCGGTCGTCCTGACGTGTCCCGGTCGTCCTGACGTGTCTCGGTCGTCCTGACGTGTCTCGGTCGTCCTGACGTGTCTTGGTCGTCCTGACGTGTCTCGGTCGTTCAGACGTGTCTCGGTCGTTCAGACGTGTCTCGGTCGTTCTGACGTGTCTCGGTCGTCCTGACGTGTCTCGGTTGTTCAGACGTGTCTCGGTCGTCCTGACGTGTCTCGGTCGTCCTGACGTGTCTCGGTCGTCCTGCCGTGTCTCGGTCGTTCTGACGTGTCTCGGTCGTCCTGACGTGTCTCGGTCGTCCTGACGTGTCTCGGTCGTCCTGACGTGTCTCGGTCGTCCTGACGTGTCTCGGTCGTTCAGACGTGTCTCGGTCGTCCTGACGTGTCTCGGTCGTCCTGACGTGTCCCGGTCGTCCTGACGTGTCTCGGTCGTCCTGACGTGTCTCGGTCGTCCTGACGTGTCCCGGTCGTTCTCTGAGCGCAGATTCTGTCGTGGCTTTTGTCTTTGATGTTTCCTTTGATGTTTTATTGTGTAAAAAAACACTTCTATTTTAAACTTGGGTCAAATTCACCTGATTTTTACATCAATGTTTTTACCGAGAAATAAATGAATGTGACAAAAACTCATCTGTCCAACCACAGCTACAGACCAGCAACAGACCAGCAACGAACCAGCTACAGACCAGCTACAGCCACAGACCAGCTACAGACCAGCTACAGCCACAGACCAGCTACAGACCAGAGACCAGCTACAGACCAGCTACAGACCAGAGACCAGCTACAGACCAGCTACAGACCAGAGACCAGCTACAGACCAGCTACAGCCACAGACCAGCTACAGACCAGAGACCAGCTACAGACCAGCTACAGACCAGAGACCAGCTACAGACCAGCTACAGCCACAGACCAGCTACAGACCAGAGACCAGCTACAGACCAGCTACAGACCAGAGAAGACCAGCTACAGACCAAAATGTATTTCTTCAATTAATTTTTTTTTTATATTTTCTTTTTTTTATACATATATTTTTATTTGTTTTTATAAATGTAGGCCCAGACAAACTTGTGTTTTTAAACTTGACCCTGACGCCCCTGGTTTAAGCAGAAGTACATTTTATTTGAATTTGTCTAATTTGGGACCACATTTTTGAGTGAAAACTGCTTCAGTTAAAAACGCAACAACAAAAACATATTTACAGAAGAGAAGGAAAGACCCGACGACATCATGTTCGTAAAGTGTGCTAGCTCATTTAGCATCTGTGGAGAAACGTTTACTGACCTTTAAAATGTGGGAGCTTTGAGGAAATTATTATTTAAAACATTTGGGTTGTTTTTTGTGTCAATTCTTGCTCGGATTGGACCAAAGCTGGACTAAATCTTGAAAGGATCAGTTTTATGGACAGAGGAATGTTTCTGATGAAGTGTTATTACCATCGTAGCACTCGTTAAGGAGCAAACATTCATAAAAGGGGAAACAGTATAAAGTTTGTGGACAGGAAAAGGTCAGAGGGCCACATGGAAACATGAATCGGGCCGTATGTGGCCCTCGGACCTCAACTTGCCCTGGTCTGGTCTGGTCTGGTCTGGTCTGGGGCAAGAAGCTTATATTACTTAGATAGATGGAATATGAGAGAAAGTATTTTATCTTTATTGAGAGAGAGAGAGACAGAGAGAGAGACCAGAGAGAGAGAGAGACAGAGAGAGAGAGAGACAGAGAGAGAGACAGAGAGAGACAGAGAGAGAGAGAGACAGAGAGAGACAGAGAGAGAGAGAGAGACCAGAGAGAGAGAGACAGAGAGAGAGAGAGACAGAGAGAGAGACAGAGAGAGACAGAGAGAGACAGAGAGAGAGAGAGACAGAGAGAGAGAGAGAGACCAGAGAGAGAGAGACAGACCAGAGAGAGACAGAGAGAGAGAGACCAGAAAGAGAGAGACCAAAGAGAGAGACCAGAGAGAGAGAGACAGAGAGAGAGAGACAGAGAGAGAGAGACAGAGAGAGAGACCAGAGAGAGAGACCAGAGAGAGAGAGGCCAGAGAGAGAGAGACCAGAGAGAGAGAGACCAGAGAGAGAGAGGCCAGAGAGAGAGAGAGAGAGACCAGAGAGAGAGGCCAGAGAGAGAGAGAGAGAGACCAGAGAGGGAGAGGCCAGAGAGAGAGACCAGAGAGAGAGAGACCAGAGAGAGAGAGAGAGACCAGAGAGAGAGAGGCCAGAGAGAGAGAGAGAGAGACCAGAGAGAGAGAGGCCAGAGAGAGAGAGACCAGAGAGAGAGAGACCAGAGAGAGAGAGACTAGAGAGAGAGAGACAGAGAGAGAGAGACCAGAGAGAGAGACCAGAGAGAGAGAGACCAGAGAGAGAGGCCAGAGAGAGAGAGAGAGAGAGAAAGAGAGAGAGAGGCCAGAGAGAGAGAGAGAGAGACCAGAGAGGGAGAGGCCAGAGAGAGAGACCAGAGAGAAAGAGACCAGAGAGAGAGAGAGAGACCAGAGAGAGAGAGGCCAGAGAGAGAGAGACCAGAGAGAGAGAGGCCAGAGAGAGAGAGACCAGAGAGAGAGAGACCAGAGAGAGAGAGAGAGAGACTAGAGAGAGAGGCCAGAGAGAGAGAGACCAGAGAGAGAGAGACCAGAGAGAGAGAGGCCAGAGAGAGAGAAGGCTGTGGTTGGTCAGGCTGGTGCCAAACAGTTGTGAATGTTTTTCTTTGCCAAAATGGTTCAGGTGTTTCAGACAAAAATGACAATTAAACAATAAATATGAATCGTGAGGCTGGTGTTGATGTGACAGAGACTGAAAAACACCTGAAAACGAGAGAAACTGTTGAGAGAGAGAGGGACGAGTTACAAGGATTTTGTTGTTATGTAAAACCTCAGTCCTGGATCTACAGCCTCAGTCCTGGGTCTACAGCCTCAGTCCTGGGTCTACAGCCTCAGTCCTGGGTCTACAGCCTCAGTCCTGGGTCTACAGCTTCAGTCCTGGGTCTACAGCCTCAGTCCTGGGTCTACAGCCTCAGTCCTGGGTCTACAGCTTCAGTCCTGGGTCTACAGCCTCAGTCCTGGGTCCACAGCTTCAGTCCTGGGTCTACAGCCTCAGTCCTGGGTATACAGCCTCAGTCCTGGGTCCACAGCCTCAGTCCTGGGTCCACAGCTTCAGTCCTGGGTCTACAGCCTCAGTCCTGGGTATACAGCCTCAGTCCTGGGTCCACAGCCTCAGTCCTGGGTCTAGGGTTTGAAGCATGTTGTGATTGCAGAGTACGTACCTTTTAGAAATGGTTTAGACTAAAGCAGTAATAAATCTGTATGAACTCCATGTAAAAGGTAGAAATAAGTGAATCAATAATAAAATATAAGTCTGTCAAACCATTATAACCACCAGAAAGAAACTGGTTTTGTGTTGTATTCATGGACACACTTTTTTAGCTCCAGAAATGTCTTGTGTCTCCCTCAAATTAGTGAGTAATCTTTATTTATAGCACATTTCACAAACACTGCGCTTTACGGTTCTTGTTGTGCCAGTGATTCCCCTTCTCTCCACACGGGGGCGACAGCAGCGAGAGGCCGAACACTCACTCTGATCCATGCACATGTTTTTAGTGGTAGGGGAAACCGGAGCACCTGGAGGAAACCGGAGAAGACACGGGGAGAACATGCAAAAGGTGGTATTGAACCCAGGACGTTCATGAGGTGCTTTGAATAAAACGTCAAATGCAAAACTTCCCAGTGAAATGGCCTTGACCTGGACCTTGTTGGTTTTAGTCCAGTATGAGGCCAAATCTGATCATGTTCTAGGCCTGGTTCAGTCCTGGTCAGACCCACTTCAGTCCTGGTCAGACCTGGTTCAGTCCTGGTTTATTCGTGGATCAGAGCTGAACCAGGATGTAAAAAAGTTAGGTAGCGAACTATTTAATAAAGTACTTCCTGGTTTGAAAAGGGAAATGAGAAACTGTGGAATATTTAAATAAAGCTATGTTTGGTCTAAAGATTAAACTTTATTGATCTCATTTATCTTTAACTTCATTTATTTAAATGTCAAATTCATGTAGAGGCAGAGAAAGGAAGGTGCTGGTCCTGGGGTCAGTGCTGGTTACCATAGCAACACACCTTACCGTTAGCCGTTAGCATTCAGCCATTAGCATTTAGCCGTTGCAGCCGTTTTTCAATCTCCATTGTAACTATTTTTAGCACAAACCTTATGAAAGACTTTTAATACATCTGGTGAAAAACAAACCATCTTGGGGGAATTTCATCTCATCAATCTCAAGAACTTTTCACAGATAATTACAGCGTTTGACTTTTAATAAAGGTCTTATCTTCACTACTTTCATTTTCACTTTACTCAAAGTGCTCTGGGTTTTTAATAGAAAACATAATGGGGTTATTTTATTGATAGAATTACCTTTAAAATGATGTGTAACACGCCACAGTAACCTGTATGTACGCATTAATGTACCCCCTTTTGAGAAACACTGGTCTCCAGAACCGGACTCTTTCACCTGCTCATGTGAACTGGTCTACAGCCTCAGTCCTGGGTCTACAGCCTCAGTCCTGGGTCTACAGCCTCAGTCCTGGGTCTACAGCCTCAGTCCTGGGTCTACAGCCTCAGTCCTGGGTCTACAGCCTCAGTCCTGGGTCTACAGCCTCAGTCCTGGGTCTACAGCCTCAGTCCTGGGTCTACAGCCTCAGTCCTGGATCTACAGCCTCAGTCCTGGGTCTACAGCCTCAGTCCTGGGTCTACAGCCTCAGTCCTGGGTCTACAGCCTCAGTCCTGGATCTACAGCCTCAGTCCTGGGTCTACAGCCTCAGTCCTGGGTCTACAGCCTCAGTCAGGCCCGGACTGGCCATCGGGAGCATCGGGAGATCTCCCGGTGGCCTGCGTGTCAAAGTGGCCTGGGCCTGCCCTATCATCACGGTCTTTTTTTCTTTTTTTTTTTTTCTTCTTTCTTTTAATTTAATTTCATCCTCACGGTCTTTGCAAACTCCTGCCCTGCCTGGTGGCCTGGTCCAATGAGCAAGGCCCAGGCCAAAGGCAGTGTTGTGCGTGAACGAGTTCAAAAGAACGCGTTCATTGAACACGCTCATTTTTTCGTGAAACGTTGAACACATTTTTTAATAAATAACTTGAACGTGAATTAGTTCATATTATGTGTCATGAACGGCAGACAATTTGTTTTCCATTTAAAACTGAGTGAAATCTGTTTTCTTCTTTTGAAACGCAACGAGAGAAAGTTCCTCCCTCCTGTATTCTCCGCACTGTTTCCGCCGAAAACTAAAAATTCCTACGGTTTCCACCGTCTGTGAACGCACCCCGACTCAGTGTACTTGCGGTGCGGCGCTATATGCTAGTGCTATTCATTGGTTGTTGGACTCACATGTGCCGTGATGAAAACACAGGGGTAAGTCAGTGACACAGGGCCGTTTACATTTGACATAAAGTATAGACACACGTTCTGCAGCGCATTACAGTTTGTACTTATGAGCAGAGATGGGACAACTCAGTTCCCATTGAAACCCATGTAAATCTTCTCTGCATTGGAGTCAAAACATCCTGTGCAGTGTACAGGATATAATATATAATTATATAATATATATATATATATATATATATATATATATATATATATATATATATATATATATATATACCACGTATTGTGATTTCTAGCTCGTAGTGAAAAAAAATATTTATTTGAATATCTCGCAAAAAGTAAAATGAACTGAACTTTGAACTAGTTCAGAATTAAAATTGAGAACTTCGAACGTGAACTGTTCACTTTGAGCATGTATGAACTGAACTTGAACTTGTTCAGAAAAGCTGTGAACTGGCACAACACTGGCCAAAGCTTTACTGTCATTGGGCCAGAGCAAAATTAAACAAATGTGACGTCACACGTCGGCTACACAGCCAGGCCAGCCCAGCAGTGCACCCAGTGTAGCTTCCCCGGTTGAAATGAGTGGTCTCTCCAACTGATGGTTCATACACGTTGTTATTTTTCCTTTTATATGAGCTGTAACGATGTGATTTTACCTTACTACTTTTTTAACAATAATTGATTAGCTTGTTATAGTTATACACTAATGAACACTTAGTTCATTGTGTGTGTGTGTGTGTGTGTGTGTCTTTATTCTCACTAAACTCCATAAACGTTACGTTGCTAAGCAACGTACAACAATCTTTAAACGTCCGAGATTATATAAACAGTCAATATAAAAAGAAATAAAGAAAACAAAAGTTTTGACAGTCAATCTTAAAACTATTAAAAGAACATCAAAATACAATGACAAAAACCCAAATTTAGAACCTTGTTTGGCCTGAATGGATGAAAAGCTCCCGGCCTGAAATGTTGTCCCACTCCGGCCCTGGCCTCAGTCCTGGGTCTACAGCCTCAGTCCTGGGTCTACAGCCTCAGTCCTGGGTCTACAGCCTCAGTCCTGGGTCTACAGCCTCAGTCCTGGGTCTGCAGTCTCAGTCCTGGGTCTACAGCCTCAGTCCTGGGTCTACAGCCTCAGTCCTGGGTCTACAGCCTCAGTCCTGGGTCTACAGCCTCAGTCCTGGACCTACAGCCTCAGTCCTGGGTCTGCAGCCTCAGTCCTGGGTCTACAGCCTCAGTCCTGGATCTACAGCCTCAGTCCTGGGTCTACAGCCTCAGTCCTGGGTCTACAGCCTCAGTCCTGGGTCTACAGCCTCAGTCCTGGGTCTACAGCCTCAGTCCTGGGTCTACAGCCTCAGTCCTGGGTCTGCAGTCTCAGTCCTGGGTCTACAGCCTCAGTCCTGGGTCTACAGCCTCAGTCCTGGGTCTACAGCCTCAGTCCTGGGTCTACAGCCTCAGTCCTGGACCTACAGCCTCAGTCCTGGGTCTGCAGCCTCAGTCCTGGGTCTACAGCCTCAGTCCTGGATCTACAGCCTCAGTCCTGGGTCTACAGCCTCAGTCCTGGGTCTACAGCCTCAGTCCTGGGTCTGCAGCCTCAGTCCTGGGTCTACAGCCTCAGTCCTGGACCTACAGCCTCAGTCCTGGGTCTGCAGCCTCAGTCCTGGGTCTACAGCCTCAGTCCTGGGTCTACAGCCTCAGTCCTGGGTCTGCAGCCTCAGTCCTGGGTCTACAGCCTCAGTCCTGGGTCTGCAGCCTCAGTCCTGGGTCTACAGCCTCAGTCCTGGATCTACAGCCTCAGTCCTGGGTCTACAGCCTCAGTCCTGGGTCTACAGCCTCAGTCCTGGGTCTGCAGCCTCAGTCCTGGGTCTACAGCCTCAGTCCTGGGTCTACAGCCTCAGTCCTGGATCTACAGCCTCAGTCCTGGGTCTACAGCCTCAGTCCTGGATCTACAGCCTCAGTCCTGAACATTTATTAACATTACTGAGCAGAGGTCATTCCACTGTTTATTATTATATTTCCTGCATGTGAACTGTGTGATTCTCTGATCTGTTGTTGGCGAATCGACACCTTCGTATAGTCCGAGACGACAGCTGTTGTGATTTAGGGCGACACACAAATACATTGAATTGTCAAAAAGAAACAGAAATATTTTATGTCAAACCATTTCTCCGTCGATATCTCTGCTCCTGCTGTATCCATGTAATCGTGACGCGCTAAAGCTAAAGCTAAAGCTAGTGCCCATACTGAAGAGTGTATTGATCTGTTCATTCTTCACAGCAAAGTGCCAGCGGATCACAGTAGCAGTCGCTTTTCCATGTGTGCCAAAATGCCTGCATCACCCCAGATCTTGGAGACAACAACCAGAAACAGAGACCAGTGTGAGACCGTGGGCGTGACCGTGGGCGAGACCGTGGGCGTGACCGTGGGCGTGACCGTGGGCGTGACCGTGGGCGTGACCGTGGGCGTGACCGTGGGCGTGACCGTGGGCGTGACCGTGGGCGTGACCGTGGGCGTGACCGTGACCGTGGGCGTGACCGTGGGCGTGACCGTGGGCGTGACCGTGGGCGTGACCGTGGGCGTGACCGTGGGCGTGACCGTGGGCGTGACCGTGGGCGTGACCGTGGGCGTGACCGTGTGACCCGTGGGCGTGACCGTGGGCGTGACCGTGGGCGTGACCGTGGGCGTGACCGTGGGCGTGACCGTGGGCGTGACCGTGGGCGTGACCGTGGGCGTGACCGTGGGCGTGACCGTGGGCGTGACCGTGGGCGTGACCGTGGGCGTGACCGTGGGCGAGACCGTGGGCGTGACCGTGGGCGAGACCGTGGGCGAGACCGTGGGCGTGACCGTGGGCGTGACCGTGGGCGTGACCGTGGGCGAGACCGTGGGCGAGACCGTGGGCGTGACCGTGGGCGAGACCGTGGGCGTGACCGTGGGCGTGACCGTGGGCGTGACCGTGGGCGTGACCGTGGGCGTGACCGTGGGCGTGACCGTGGGCGTGACCGTGGGCGTGACCGTGGGCGTGACCGTGACCGTGGGCGAGACCGTGGGCGTGACCGTGGGCGTGACCGTGGGCGTGACCGTGGGCGAGACCGTGGGCGTGACCGTGGGCGAGACCGTGGGCGTGACCGTGGGCGTGACCGTGGGCGAGACCAGGACTCGTCGCAGCAGCGCCTCTTGATGGCAGGTCAGTGGAACAGAGCGGACACACAGGAAAACACAATAATCATAACTTCCCATCATACACAATATGTCTCCTTTAAAGCTGGGGTCACTAACTTTCTAAGACCTCTCAACTCAGTTTGCTTCTAATGCTAGTTTTTACTTTCTGAGAGACAGAGACAAAGAGAGAGTGAAAGCGAGAGAGAGACAGAGAGAACACGGTACATTTTGTCACTTTTTGTTTTTTAGTGTTATACCCAAAAAAGTTTTTATATTCACCCATAAAATCCTCTTTTTGGAGCTACTTGGAGCTATAGCTGGTAGCTCCTGAGCTATAGGTTAGCGACCCATGATCTTTGTCCAGGCTAAACTCATGAGCTCTTCAGTGTGTGTTCACCAGCGAGGGCTAATCTCCAGCGTCACCATTGGTTCAGAAATGTTGCGTTCAAAGCCAGTGATAAAAAACAGACACCAGAATGGAAATGAAGCCACTTTCGCTAATGTGCCTCTTTATTTAGAGAAAATAAAAATTGTCATTTGTCATATCTGCCTGGTCACTTCACTCTGTCTGCCAGTAGGGGGGGTGGGCGTGCCGTAATGCTGTTTGTACACAGGGGAGAGGGGGAAATAGGGGGAAATGAACCCATAATAATAATAATAATAATAAGAATAAGAGCTGTGGTCGGGTGCGTCACACATTCGTTGAGTGCCTGTGCCAGATGAGGGACCAAACATGGGTTAGTAAGTAATATTGCACGCCTTCTTTGTCTCGCCTCGCTCTCGACATGCTTCTCCTATAGGCACACACATAATAAACATGTTCAATTGTACATATATATTTATAATAGAGCTATAAATGTACATGTACATACAAATAAGAAAAAGAGTCTCTCCCAGTCACACGTCTGTCTATGTACACCTCACGCATACTGCAAAAAATCCTATCAAAAAACAATGGATTTCCAATGTCTTGTTTTTAAAGCTGTGAAATTCAAATAATATAATAATTAAGAATAATAATAATAAAATAAAATTAAAGAAGGAACCGAGAGAAAAACCAAAGAGAGAGAGAGAGAAAAGGCATGGCGCTGTCTTCACTGCAGGTAAGTGGTTAATTTTGCATAATGTATACAAGTTTTTAAGGATTTTTCCCTATTTTTTTGTGTTTTTTTACTAAACAGGATTTGTTTTTGTTATTTTTTTTATATAAACCAGAAAAAACTAAATTCTACAGAGAAAGTGCCCTACCCGCAGTCGTCGTCGGCTGCCGATAGAGAGTTTGACATCAAGCTGTACAGCGCGGTCAAAGAAAAGAAAGGTACTTACATCAGCTCATGTTACAGGTACAGCCATATCCAAGGCACAAAGATCTACAAGTAGATTTGTTTTTCTCTCAATTAAAGTTGTACAAAATAATATTACATTTTACAGTCTGTACAGGATAACCCAACCTTGCACAGTGTACAAGTTTCTCAAACAAACAAAGAAACAGAAAACAGAAAAACGCTTCTTCAGCTCTCAGCGCGTCTCTGGTCCCTCCTTCGTTCGTGACGGGGCTGGGTGGCATTTTTGGAGTTCGTAGAAAGGGACTAAGGTGCAAGCTCAGTCCCCGAATCGGAATAATCCTTCAAAAAAAACTTCAAAAACAACAAAAATCGCCGTTGGTTCCGCCCCTCGAGTTATTATCACTGGGCGTTAATAAATATAGTGTTGCTACATGGTGTGTGTTACGCTTCCTCTGGACGAAAACAAAAACAAGGAGAACGAAATTATTAAGGAAACCTGAAGCAAAGTGCATTAAAATCTCCACACGCTCGTCTTTGTCCGTCCCAAAAATATATAAGGGGGAGAAAAGGGGGAGGGAGGGGGAGGGAGGGAGGGGGAGGGAGGGAGGGAGGGGGAGGGGGGAGCAGACATATGCAAAATCTCCTCCAGGTCGTGAGGTCCGGTTGGTTTCAAGTTTCACACCCAACAAAAAGTAGGTCCGAAAATGAAGGGGAAGAAAAAGAACGCGACACGGGAAAAGGACGCATCGGTGAAAAATGGGAAAAAAAGGAGAAATTTGCCACAAAAAAAAAACACAAGAAATAAGCGGAAACTGTCTGGATTTGATGTGGGGTTTATCCGGGTTTTGGGATTTGTGACTGTCTTAAAACGCGTGGAAAGATCGGAGAGAAGTTTCGCTGGTTCTCGGACGCACAGGACTCTCAGACCCAGATAAACGCAGCCGGGTTTTCGGTTCAAACGTCGAGCTCTAGTTTTCGCAGCGTCAGGAGGTAGCGCGAGAATCTTTAGTGGAATGACGATAAAAACTAAATGTGTTTTTTTGAATTTGGATTCTCAGAGGGCTGGGCGATACGGCTCCCGCTGCAGGTGGAAGCCAGAACCTGTCTGAAGCTAAGCGGGGCAGGGCCTGGTTAGTGCTGTGATGGGAGACCTCTGGGAACAGCAGGTGCCACAGTGGGGCGGCTGCGGCTGTAAAGTGCCAAACTGTCGCTGTGTCCTTAGGCAAGACACTTCCCCCACATTAGAATGAGTCTGGTGTGTGTGTGAATGGTTGGTGGTGGTGGGAGGGGCTGATGGCACAGACTGGTTGCCTCACTTCTGTCAGTGTGCCCCAGGGCAGCTGTGGCTAAGTAAGTAAGTAAGTAAGTAAGTAAGCTTTATTTATATGCCGCCTTTCACAGACCAGAGTCACAAAGCGGTTTACAATTGTTATTTTTTGGGCACTTGTCCTCTCACTCCACACAGAGATGGGAGCGAGAGGACAAGGGTACAGTAGTAGTAGAGCGGGGCTACAGTAGTAGTTTATCACCACTGGGAAGTAAATTAATATATATACATAAAACTAATTCATTATCATTATTATTATTATTAAAAACATCCACATTTGTTTTTTGCAGACTTTTTCCTAAACGCTAGACGCTAGTAGTACAGCGTGTGCCAAAATGTCTGCGTCACAGGCTTGTTTTGACTGTGTAGTAGATTGCTAACAGGTTGCTAGCTTGTCGCGTGTTCATTTCGACAGCGGCGATTACACCGATCACCGCACTCTTTGTTGCCATATCGCCCAGTCCTTTTATCACTGCAGAAAAAAGCCAAAATAAGACTTTAAAACGGCTTGAATCGTGCGAGTTGTCTGGTAAAAGTACAATTTGTCAACACAACAAGCCGCTTCAGCCTCTTGTTCCGTACCCAAGCCCGGATAAACTCACCATGTTCTATCACCGTGTGTAAAAATCGCAACTTTAATCATAAAAAAGAAAAAGTAAAACCAGCGGCACACGTCAAACTTGTTCCCCAAATGTTGTCCTTTGTGGAAAAATGGGGGAAGTAGGGAAAAGTAGAAAAAGCGCAGAGGAGGGGTTGACACACGTTCAGTAGTAGTGGGAGCAGGTCCGAGGCCATCACAACAGTTCGTACTGACGCAGGTGCATTCTCTGGATGATGTCTCTGCAGTCGTTGAACACGCGCCGGATGTTCTCTGTGTCCACGGCGCACGTGAAGTGAGGGTAGCAGTAGTGGCGCCCGTCTCCGCTCGCAGTGCTGATCCGCTGCAGGAGGCGAGGGGGAGGGGGGGAGAGAGGGGGGGAGAGGGGAGAGTTTTGTTATGGTAAAGATAGAGGTTTGATACTGTCTCTTTTTAAGCTAGAGTTAGAGATTTAAACGTATTTTAGATCATATTTAACCTGTGTTTGTGTGTACACATGTGTATCTGTGTGTGTGTGTGTGTGTGTATGTGTGTGCCGACAGAGACTAGAGAGAGAGACCAGAGAGACACAAGAGAGAGACCAGAGAAGAAACACTAGAGAGAGACTAGAGAGAGACACTAGAGAGAGACCAGAGAGAGAGACTAGAGAGAGACACTAGAGAGAGACCAGAGAGAGAGACTAGAGAGAGAGACCAGAGAGAGGCCAGAGAGAGACACTAGAGACCAGAGAGAGGCCAGAGAGAGACACTAGAGAGAGACCAGAGAGAGAGACTAGAGAGAGACCAGAGAGAGACCAGAGAGAGACCAGAGAGAGAGACTAGAGAGAGACCAGAGAGAGACCAGAGAGAGACCAGAGAGAGACCAGAGAGAGAGACTAGAGAGAGAGACCAGAGAGAGGCCAGAGCGAGAGACTAGAGAGAGACACTAGAGACCAGAGAGAGAGACTAGAGAGAGACACTAGAGACCAGAGAGAGACCAGAGAGAGACCAGAGAGAGAGACTAGAGAGAGACCAGAGAGAGATATTAGAGAGAGAGACCAGAGAGAGAGACCAGAGAGAGAGACCAGAGAGAGATACCAGAGAGAGAGACCAGAGAATGTGTGTGTCTGTATGTGGGTGTATGTATCTGTCTGTATGTGTGTGTGTGTGTGTGTATCTGTGTGTGTGTGTGTTGTTCCGTGTTCAAAACAACATGGATAAAAGTAAACTCATGTCACTCACAAGAAACTCGTCCCGGATGAAAAACTTGGCTCTCGTGACTCTGGGGTCCTCTCCGGGTTCAGGGGTTGCTACGGCAACAGCAGAGAGACAGTTACAGTTACTCTCACAGTTACAGTTACTCTCAGTTACAGTTACTCCCACAGTAACAGTTACTCCCACAGTAACAGTTACTCCCACAGTTACAGTTACTCCCACAGTTACAGTTACACCCACTGTTACAGTTACTCCCACAGTTACAGTTACACCCACTGTTACAGTTACTCCCACAGTTACAGTTACTCTCACAGTTACTGTTACTCTCACAGTTACTGTTACTCTCACAGTTACTGTTACTCTCACAGTTACTGTTACTCTCACAGTTACAGTTACTCCCACAGTTACAGTTACTCTCAGTTAAAGTTACTCTGACAGTTACTCTCACAGTTACAGTTACTCCCACAGTTACAGTTACTCTCACAGTTACAGTTACTCTCAGTTACAGTTACTCTCACAGTTACAGTTACTCTCACAGTTACAGTTACTCCCACAGTTACAGTTACTCTCACAGTTACAGTTACTCCCCCAGTTACAGTTACTCTCACAGTTACAGTTACTCTCACAGTTAAAGTTACTCCCACAGTTTAAGTTACTCCCACAGTTACAGTTACTCCCACAGTTAGTTACTCTTACAGTTACAGTTACTCTCACAGTTACAGTTACTCTCACAGTTACAGTTACTCCCACAGTTACAGTTACTCCCACAGTTACAGTTACTCTTACAGTTACAGTTACTCTCACAGTTAAAGTTACTCTCACAGTTACAGTTACTCCCACAGTTACAGTTACTCTCTCAGTTACAGTTACTCTCTCAGTTACAGTTACCTTCATTTGGTATGGTGTATCGAGCGTATTCAGGGAAGTAGTCTTCGATTTTGGATTTTCCAGCTAATACTTTCTCGGCCAACATGTCCTGCTTGTTCAGGAACAATATGACCGATATAGTGCGTAACCATCTGTGGACACACAACACACACACGTTAGAGACACACAACACACACACGTTAGAGAGACACACAACACACACACGTTAGAGAGACACACAACACACACACGTTAGAGATACACACAACACACACACACGTTAGAGAGACACACAACACACACACGTTAGAGATACACACAACACACACACACGTTAGAGACACACAACACACACACACACATTAGAGAGACACACAACACACACACGTCAGAGAGACACACAACACACACAAACGTTACTCTCTCTGGTCTCTCTCTCTGGTCTCTCTCTGGTCTCTCTCTGGTCTCTCTCTGGTCTCTCTCTGGTCTCTCTCTGGTCTCTCTCTCTGGTCTCTCTCTCTGGTCTCTTTCTCTGGTCTCTCTCTCTCTGGTCTCTCTCTGGTCTCTCTCTGGTCTCTCTCTGGTCTCTCTCTGGTCTCTCTCTGGTCTCTCTCTCTGGTCTCTCTCTCTGGTCTCTCTCTCTCTGGTCTCTCTCTCTGGTCTCTCTCTCTCTGGTCTCTCTCTCTGGTCTCTCTCTCTGGTCTCTCTCTCTGGTCTCTCTCTCTCTGGTCTCTCTCTCTCTGGTCTCTCTCTCTGGTCTCTCTCTCTGGTCTCTCTCTGGTCTCTCTCTGGTCTCTCTCTGGTCTCTCTCTGGTCTCTCTCTGGTCTCTCTCTGGTCTCTCTCTGGTCTCTCTCTCTGGTCTCTCTCTCTGGTCTCTCTCTCTGGTCTCTCTCTCTGGTCTCTTTCTCTGGTCTCTCTCTCTGGTCTCTCTCTGGTCTCTCTCTGGTCTCTCTCTGGTCTCTCTCTCTCTGGTCTCTCTCTGGTCTCTCTCTGGTCTCTCTCTGGTCTCTCTCTGGTCTCTCTCTGGTCTCTCTCTGGTCTCTCTCTCTGGTCTCTCTCTCTGGTCTCTCTCTCTGGTCTCTCTCTCTGGTCTCTCTCTCTGGTCTCTCTCTCTGGTCTCTCTCTGGTCTCTCTCTGGTCTCTCTCTGGTCTCTCTCTGGTCTCTCTCTGGTCTCTCTCTGGTCTCTCTCTCTGGTCTCTCTCTCTGGTCTCTCTCTCTCTGGTCTCTCTCTCTGGTCTCTCTCTCTGGTCTCTCTCTCTGGTCTCTCTCTCTCTGGTCTCTCTCTCTCTGGTCTCTCTCTCTGGTCTCTCTCTGGTCTCTCTAGTCTGGTCTTTCTAGTCTCTCCCTCTGGTCTCTGGATTGGAATGGTTTGGTTTGGATTGGATTGGTTTGGTTTGTTTATGTCTGGCTTGGACTGGCTTGCTTTGGTTTGGTCTGGTTTGTTTTTGTTTTGGTTTTTTTGGTCTGGCTTGGTTTGGTCTAGTTTGGTTTGGATTGGTCTGGTTTGGTATGGTATGGATTGGTATGGCTTGGTCTGTCTTGGTCTGGCTTGGTTTGTTTTGTTCTGGCTTGGTCTGGTTCCTCACCTGTTGTTCCAGATGCTGCGGAAGAGGTCGAGCGCCTCCCGTAGTCTGTTGGTGTTGTTGTCTTCCCTTATTACCATGTTGTAGCTGCTGCTGGCCACCACGAAGATGATCGCAGTGACATCTGCAGGACAGAGAAGGAACTGCGTCAGACTGGCTTTACACACACACATACAGACAGATACACACACACACATAGACACACACATAGACACACACACACACACACACAGACACACATACAGACACATACACACACACATAGACACACACACACACACACACACACAGATGATCGCAGTGACATCTGCAGGACAGAGAGGGAACTGCGTCAGACTGGCTTTATACACACACACATACAGACAGATACACACAGACACAGACCTACAGATACAGACAGACACATGTACACACAGATACAGACACACACGAAGATGATCACTGGCTTTATACACACACACATCCAGACAGATACAGACACACAGTCACAGACACAAAGACACACATACAGACACACACAGAGATACACACACATACACAGACACACATACAGACACACAGACACAGACACACACACATTCAGATACACACAGTCGCAGTCAGACACACAAACATACACACAGGCACAGACACAGACTGCAGATTCATGCTAAAATCTGGAACAATCTTCCTGAAAATGTGAGACAGGCTTCTTCTCAGACTAAGTTCAGATCCAGGTTAAAAACATCACCGTGATTATTTATGACGTTCTCTTCTGTATCAACTGCGCTACACAAAAAAACTTGCCGTATCTGTTCATGTAAAAAGTGTTTTTACCGTTAAAGCATTGGATCCATTTTCTCCTCTCGTCTCTCTGGCCTCCAACGTCAAACATGCTGCAGACACAGACACGGACCATCAACAACAACAGACAACTCTACTCTAACTGACAGACAGTGAGTGCTGCTGGAAGCCAAGGTTACCAAGGAATTTCCCTGGATACTCGGATGGAGAGACTGAAACCAAGGAGGTGAAAACTGCTTATTCACCCGTTTATGTTGTATTGGACAGATGGTTACAACAGACTCAAAGGGGGTCTCTCTGGTCTCGCACTCTCTCTCTCTCTCTGGTCTCTCTCTGTCTCTGTGGTCTCTCACTCTCTGGTCTCTCTCTGTGGTCTCTCACTCTCTGGTCTCTTTCTCTCTCTCTCTCTGGTCTCTCTCTGTGGTCTCTCACTCTCTGGTCTCTCTCTGTGGTCTCTCACTCTCTGATCTCTTTCTCTCTCTCTCTCTGGTCTCTCTCTTTGGTCTCTCACTCTTTGGTTTCTCACTCTCTGGTCTTGCACTCTCTCTCTGGTCTCTCTCTCTGGTCTCTCTCTCTGGTCTCGCTTTCTGGTCTCTCTCTCTCTGGTCTCTCTTTCTGGCCTCTCTCTGGTCTCTCTCTGATCTCTCTCTCTCTCTAGTCTCTCTCTCTCTGGTCTCTCTCTCTGGTCTCTCTCTCTGGTCTCTCTCTCTCTGGTCTCTCTCTCTCTCTCTGGTCTCTCTCTTGTCTTTGAGTGAGCAGAAGTGGGTCAAACTCTTACAAAACCTGCTGTAACAGGAAGCATCGATCGATACTTGTGACCGGAGCGAGGGGCGGGGAATGTGCAAAACCAAGGCGTCTGATTGGTTCAGGGGCCCCCAGACCTCACACCAGGGGTCTCCCACCTGTAGTTTGGGAGCCACCAGTAGCTCTCCCTTTCAGGTAGCTTCCAGAATTATTCATAAATTTAACTCATGAGTCTGTTCATGCACTTATGTAAAGACACACATCTTCATGGTATTTGTTTCATGGTACATTCTACATTTGTATTTTGGCCACAAGAGGGAGTAGCTCTCTGCCATTTCTGTGTTGTAAAAGAAGCCAGGGAGAGAGACCAGAGAGAGACCAGAGAGAGACCAGAGAGAGACCAGAGAGAGACAAGAGAGAGACAAGAGAGAGACCAGAAAGAGACCAGGGAGAGAGACCAGAGAGAGACCAGAGAGAGACCAGAGAGAGACCAGAGAGAGACAAGAGAGAGACAAGAGAGAGACCAGAGAGAGACCAGAGAGAGAGACCAGAGAGAGACCAAAGAGGGACCAGAGAGAGACCAGAGAGAGACCAGAGAGAGACCAGAGAGAGAACAGAGAGAGAACCGAGAGAGGGACCAGAGAGAGACCAGAGAGAGACCAGAGAGAGACCAGAGAGAGACCAGAGAGAGACCGAGAGAGGGACCAGAGAGAGACAAGAGAGAGAGCAGAGTGAGACCAGAGAGAGAGACCAGAGAGAGACCAGAGAGAGACCAGAGAGAGACCAGAGAGAGAACAGAGAGAGAACAGAGAGAGAACCGAGAGAGGGACCAGAGAGAGACCAGAGAGAGACCAGAGAGAGACCAGAGAGAGACCAGAGAGAGAACAGAGAGAGAACCGAGAGAGGGACCAGAGAGAGACCAGAGAGAGACCAGAGAGAGACCAGAGAGAGAGACCAGAGAGAGAGCAGAGTGAGACCAGAGAGAGACCAAAGAGGGACCAGAGAGAGACCAGAGAGAGACCAGAGAGAGACCAGAGAGGGACCAGAGAGAGACCAGAGAGAGACCAGAGAGAGACCAGAGAGAGACCAGAGAGAGACCAGAGAGAGAGACAAGAGTGAGACCAGAGAGAGACCAGAGAGAGTGACCAGAGAGAGACCAGAGAGAGACCAGAGAGAGAGACAAGAGTGAGACCAGAGAGAGACTAGAGAGAGAGACCAGAGAGAGACTAGAGAGAGAGACCAGAGAGAGACCAGAGAGAGACCAGAGAGAGACCAGAGAGAGACCAGAGAGAGAGACCAGAGAGAGACCAGAGAGAGACCAGAGAGAGATCACAATTGAACGCAAAAAAAATCCATGCCGTAGCATCAAAAAGACACATTAAACCCTGAAAACATTTAAAACATTGTGAAATACAAAGAAAAAGATAAAAGTGACGAGAAACTCACTGAAAGTTGACTTTATCGACTTGGAACCGCGTCTCGAAAATCCCTGAAGTTAACACTCGGCAGCGTAGAAGGTCCTGCAACAAAAGCAAAAGTATTCACTCTCCTGGCGCCTGGAAGATCCATGTTCCAGCTTCTTCCCTCTGGCAGAGGATACAGGACATCTCCACACGCTCACAGCTTCTCTCCGCAAGCTTAGATTAGAGAGACGCTAGCAGTACTTGTTTTATTTATACATGTCTGGGGCACACTGGGGACTCTTGCACATTTACTCCAATGTGGTTTTACTGCAATTGGCAAATCTGAATAAATGGAATCCTTACGCAATGAGAAAAATATGAATGATTTAAGAACCTAAAAACTTGGTCTAATGAAATGTGCTGTATAAATATAGACGTCCTACAGATAGACTCAGTTTTCATGTTATTGTTATTAAATGTTACTTCCTGGTTGTAACGTGATGTCATGTCTATTAGGAGTATATTAAATCTGCACAAACTGACTTTGGGATTTTGAAGCCATGGACTCTCTGGCCTCTCTCTTTCTGCTCCCCTCCCCGCACCCACGAAGCTATCGCCCCCACACACACACACTGTTGTTGACGGAGCTAGCGTCTCCCAATATGGATAATACATGGATATGGATTTGCACGTGTATGGCGTGACCATAGAACGATAGAACCAGGAAGTGCGGAGGAACAAGACATTCTTTTGGCTGTGTCGCTGTGTAAGCAGTAACCGGTGACGAAGACGAGGAAGTTTCAGGTTAGCTCCGCCGCTTGTTGTGCTAACTCAGCTGTCTATGCTAACAGGGCCCTGTAGATTTCTCACGAAAGTTGGGGCCAGTGGTGCGCTGTGATTGGTCACAATCTGCGACCCGAAACACATTCTCTTCCTTGTTTCATCAAAACTCCATCTAAAATATAATGTCACGGCAGCACAAATCTTTGCTACTTTTTCTTCTAAAGGACGTATATCCCAATGCACTACATGGACATGGATAGCACTTTAGTAATGAATACAAAAATAAAGTCAGTTAGTGCAGCTTTTATGCAGAAGAAACTGATTTGAATATAAGCTGGCTGGAGCCAATTTACTTTTATGGGTGTTTGTTCTGATGGCATTTGCGCTGTAACAGGGGCAGATGCGTTATTAAGACGGTTGCTAAGACGGTTGCTAAGACGGTTGCTAAGACGGTTGCTAAGACGGTTGCTAAGAAGGTTGCTATGAGCGCTGAACCATGTGTTATTTCAGCCCAAAATGGTGAGTGTGACAAACGGTTACTGAGCTGGAGAAGTTTACTTTTACATATCAACAGTTGGAGCTAAACTTTGTCCATGAGCACTTCCCTATCGGGCTTCATTGAGCTAGCAGGTTGTCCATCCGTATAAATAGGTATAACACGCTATGGAAGCACCGCCTTCAGACACTGATCCTCATTCATTTACACAGAGGTCAAAGCAGCAGTCTGTCAGCCCCTCAGACTCGTTTTGGTCAGGGCCAAATTTGAAAACATAAAAGCAGGTTAAAAAGTTATTTTCTTTTATCACCATTATTTATTGTTTAATTTTATACATTTTTTTTTTTTTAAATCTGCATTTTTGTTACATATTATTTTCTAGTAGGTTTGGATTCAATCACAACTGCGACAAATATCAAAAGATGTTAAAAAAAAAATAATAAAATAATAAAAACAAATAATAATAATGTATATGTAATATTGATAATAATTGAAAATCATTCCATGGGCCACTAGAAAGTGTCTTGCGGGTCAGGTTTGGCCCTCGTGCCTGAGTGTGGTCTGGTCTGTGTGGTCAAAGATACAGTTATAAAAGACTGGATGATGAGTAGAAGTGAGCGGCAGCACTGACCTGGTCCGTGGGCGTGTAGTCGCTCTGTCTGACCGAGTCGATTCTGTCCAGAAAACTGTGAACACACAAACACAACACGTCAGACGCACACACTACACGTCAGACGCACACACTACACGTCAGACGCACACACTACACGTCAGACGCACACACGACACGTCAGACGCACACACGACACGTCAGACGCACACACGACACGTCAGACGCACACACAACACGTCAGACGCACACAACACGTCAGACGCACACACTACACGTCAGACGTACACACGACACGTCAGACGCACACACGACACGTCAGACGCACACACGACACGTCAGACGCACACACGACACGTCAGACGCACACACAACACGTCAGACGCACACAACACGTCAGACGCACACACTACACGTCAGACGCACACACAACACAACAAGTCAGACACACACACATCACGTCAGATGCACACACAACAGGTCAGACACACTCAACACGTTAGACACACACAAAACACGTCGGACGCACACACAACACGTCAGACGCACACTCAACACGTCAGACGCACACACATCACATCAGATGCACACACATCACGTCAGACACACACACATCACGTTAGATGCACACACATCACGTCAGACGCACACACAACACGTCAGATGCATACACAACACGTCAGACACACACACAACACGTCAGACACACACACAACACATCAGACGCACACACAACACATCAGACGCACACGAATCACATCAGACGCGCACACAACACGTCAGATGCATACACAACACGTCAGACACACACACATCACGTCAGATGCACACACATCACGTCAGACAAACACACAACACGTCAGATGCATACACAACACGTCAGACACACACACAACACATCAGATGAGATGCACACACATCACGTCAGACGCACACACAACACGTCAGATGCATACACAACACGTCAGACACACACACAACACGTCAGACACACACACAACACGTCAGACGCACACACAACACATCAGACGCACACGAATCACGTCAGACGCACGCACAACACGTCAGACGCACACACACTAGGGTCACACGCCAAGAAAACAGGGGCCTCACAATCAGCTCAACCGACACTTAGCAACCAACACTTAGCAACCGACACTTAGCAACCGACACCTGGCAACCGACACCTGGCAACCGACACCTGGCAACCGACACCTGGCAACCGACACCTGGCAACCGACACCTGGCAACCAACACCTGGCAACCGACACGTAGCAACCGACACTTGGCAACCGACACGTAGCAACCGACACGGGAAGCGAAGTGAAGTGAAGGAGCAAGATGGCGCCGTGCCAGGGCGCCGCTGCAAGAGCTCCGTTGTGCACCGTGATTGTTTTTATCCTTTCACTGTTTTTATCCACACTTGCCACTGTGGCATATGATCGACAGACTCTTATGGACATACGGGACTTGGCTTGTGAGTCAGTGTCGCCTGCTCTGAGGTGTGAGGGCTTCGACGAGTGCCCAACTCGAGGAGAGCGGCGTGCGGACCGCGACAGAGACAGGGAACAGGGCGATGAGGCCGGGCGCCTCCCCCGTGTTCACCACCGTGCGGAGCCGGGTGTCTCTCGCCGACGGAGGAAGCGCAGACACCGGGGAAAGCGAGGCGGGCTTCTCGTGCGGAGTCGCACTCCCAGGGTCCCACTGCCACCCATTTACCTGGCGAACGTTCAGTCTCTCCCGAACAAGTCGGATGATCTCCTGAGCCGTATCCAGTACCAGCGCGAGGCTCGGGACTGCGCAGTGTACTGCCTCAGCGAGACATGGCTGCATCCGAATATCCCGGACTCAGCTGTTCAGCCGCCGGGATTCGCCATTTTCCGCTCGGACAGAGAGAAGGAGAGCACGGGGAAATCGAAAGGCGGAGGTGTGTGTTTTTTAATTAACCAGCGCTGGTGCACTGACAGTTTTATTATAAACAAAACATGCTCTGCTAACCTGGAGTGTCTGGTTTTGAGATGCCGCCCGTTCTATCTTCCCCGAGAATTCTCAGTGATTTTCTTATGTGCTGTATATATTCATCCTCGGGCTGACTGTACAGCTGCACTGAATGACTTAAGTGACATTTTGCATAAACATGAAGCTGCTCACCCCAATGCTGTGATTATAGTTGGTGGTGATTTTAATAAATGTAACTTAAAGTCTGTATTACCGAACTTTTATCAGCATGTGAGTCAGCCTACCAGGGGAGCTCACATCCTGGATCACTGCTATAGTAACGTGAAGGCAGCTTACAGGTCCAGTCTCAGACCTGCTTTTGGGAAGTCTGACCACTCCGCTGTTCTCCTTCTTCCTTCTTACACACAGAGGAGCAAACAGCACAAACCTACTTCCCGCACTGTGCAGTGCTGGTCTGAGGAGGCTAACATGAAGCTGCAGGGCTGCTTTGATGCCACAGACTGGTCTGTTTTTAACTCTGAGAATGTTGATGAATTCTGTGAGGCTGTGACAGGATACATACAATTTTGCATTGACTGTTGTGTCCCCTATAAAGTTATTAAAGAACACTCCGGCCAAAAACCTTGGATGAACACTGATGTCAAACTTAGAATTAATGAGCGGACACTGGCGTTTCAATCCGGTGACGAGGGTGCTTACAAGCTGTCCTGCTACGCTGTGGAACGCTCTATAAAAGCTGCTAAGCGTTCCTATGGGGACAGGTTAGAGGGCTTCTTTGGGGAAGAGGACCCTCGACGCATGTGGAAGGGGATCAGTCTCATCACGTCCTGGAAACCAAGTGCAGGGAAAATTGCTGCTGGCCAAACTTTGCCAAACGAGCTCAACGACTTTTACTGCCGCTTTGAATCTGCTGATCCCCTGCCTTTTGTCTTCCCCGAATGTCAGGGTGCCTTCACAGTGACTCAGGATGAAGTACGGCGGGTCTTGTCCAGGACCACAGCTCGAAAAGCCGCAGGCCCAGACTGCATTCCTCCCCGCGTCCTGAAACTGTGCTCCGAGCAACTTGCCCCTGTTTTAACGGACATCTTTAACTTGTCACTCAGGAGCTGTACGGAGCCGGTGAGCTTTAAAAGGTCCACCATTATTCCAGTTCCTAAGAAGTCTCCAGTGACATGTCTCAATGACTACCGCCCTGTGGCCCTCACGTCTGTTCTTATGAAGACTTTTGAGCGGCTCGTGCTGGACTTCATTAAGAGCCAGATCCCTGTGAGCGTTGACCCGCTCCAGTTTGCTACAGACAGAACAGGAGTGTGGAGGATGCCATCTCCTTTGCTCTGAACTCTGTCTACACTCATTTGGACACTAGTAAATCTGTCGCGAGAATGCTGTTCATTGATTATAGCTCTGCTTTTAATTGTCTTGTCCCAAGCATATTGGTTGAAAAACTAATGTCCCTTGGTCTGAATGTTGCCATGTGTAAATGGATTTTTAGCTTTTTAACTGACAGATCTCAGAGTGTAAAAATCAATGACTGTTTTTCTGATGTTGTTTCTGTGAGCACTGGTTCTCCTCAGGGATGTATTTTGAGTCCTCTGCTTTTTACTTTGTACACTCACGATTGTGTGTCCTCCTCTGACTCAAATTTGATCATCAAATATGCTGATGACACCACCATCATCGGTCTCATCAGTGACAATGATGATTCCTCTTATAGAGCAGAGATCGAACATGTTTTTCAGTGGAGTAAAGTAAACAATCTCCAGCTGAACACTGCAAAAACATGTGAACTTGTCTTTGACTTCAGTCGTAGCAGTTCTCACACTCCTGTTGTTATTGACAACTCCCAGGTGCAGATCGTAGAGGAGTGCAAGTTTCTGGGTTTAACTCTGTCTAACGACCTGAAATGGGTTAAAAACACTGACCGGGTTGTTAAGAAAGCTCGTCAGCGGCTCTTCTTTTTGCGGAAACTTAGAGAATTTACCACTAACTCTAAGATTCTGCTTAATTTTTATCGCTGCACCATTGAGAGTTTACTTGTTGGTTCTGTGTCTGTGTGGTTTGGAAACATCACAGATAAAGAAAAGAGAGCTTTAAACAAGGTGCTCCGCTCTGCAAAGAGGACCGTGGGCTGTGAGCTTCCTGTTCTGGAGGTTCTTTACAGATCCAGACTTTTAAACAAAGCTCTTAAAATCATCAATGACTCTTCTGGCCACCCTGGGAAAGCCATGTTCCAGCTTCTTCCCTCTGGCAGAAGATATCGGTCACTGAGATGAAAGACATCTCGCTATGCTAACAGCTTCTTCCCACAGGCTGTTAGGTGCCTAAACAGAGCATTTTAATTCCTGCTTTTACCTGCTTTTAAACTGCTTTTACCCCTTGTATTGTTTTGTTGATCGGTGCCACAGCTTTTGTTCTGTCGGTGCACACGGAGTGCCTTTCTTGCGAACGTATTCCAATGTGGTTTTTTAACTGCACATGGCCAAATAAATGAATCTTGAATCTTGACGTAGAAACCGACACGTAGCAACCGACACTTGGCAACCGACACTTGGCAACCGACACTTGGCAACCGACACTTGGCAACCGACACTTAGCAGCCAAGCAACTGCCAATGTCACTTTTTATCAAATCATGTCTAATAAATATTTGTTATATCTATCACACAATAGATGTATCTGTGTGTAAGTTATTGTATGTCTTTTGTACTTTTTTCTCTCTTTTGTGGAGAACACTATTTGCTTGAAATGAATAAAAAGATAAACTATCTGATGTCTCTTTAATTTTAACTGCACATTTGGTTTCTCTGATTGCTGGTCTCTCTCTCTGGTCTCTCTCTCTGGTCTCTCTCTCTGGTCTCTCTCTCTGGTCTCTCTCTGGTCTCTCTCTCTGGTCTCTCTCTCTCTCTGGTCTCTCTCTCTCTGGTCTCTCTCTCTGGTCTCTCTCTCTGGTCTCTCTCTCTGGTCTCTCTCTCTCTCTGGTCTCTCTCTCTGGTCTCTCTCTCTCTCTGGTCTCTCTCTCTCTCTGGTCTCTCTCTCTCTGGTCTCTCTCTCTGGTCTCTCTCTCTGGTCTCTCTCTCTGGTCTCTCTCTCTGGTCTCTCTCTCTGGTCTCTCTCTCTG